CTCAACCATTGTAAACGCTAGTTCGTAATTAACTCGAATATTATATGACGATACGACTATATCAAGCGGAACAAGATTTTTAATCTTTTTATCAATATGCTCTTTTTTGACTGGCGTAGATACTACGGTTTCTTTTAAAAATTGAAGTCTAATCGGTCTAAAAAATTGCAAGGATTTATAAATACATAATTGGGGTATTCTTTGTCAAATTTTACCCCCTATCTGTCCATTTTTAATTTCAACGATAAAAATCAAAATAGGGCTTAAATGAAAGCTTGGAACCTCTACTTTTATTTACATGGTGGCCTTTTTTAAAAATTCAAGATAGGTCGCTGATTAAGAATCTGAAGTCAGTTTTGCAAAGTAGAAAATGGCGGATCCAATATGGCAGATCCATTTTTCAATAATCGTACTTTTTTGCTTAAAACTTGTTTCTGAAGTACTAATAAGAATAACTAAATATCAAGTGCAATGAATAAAAACAGCGTAAATGGTTACAAGCAAAAAAGTACAATTTTTGAAAAATAGGTCCGCCATATTAGATTCGCCATTTTGTATTTTGCAAAACTAACTTTAGATTCTTAATCAGCGACCCAAATAACCCTTTAATAGTAAGTTTCGCAAAGATTGACAAAAATTTATATTTTTCGGCCATATTGAATCCGTCATTTTGAAATTTCGCAAATGTCAATAAGGGTAAACAAAGTACGAATAAAGAGGTATGTTTTGTGCCAAAAATAAACTATTTCTACTATCAGATTAATATTTTTTTAGCAAAAAGTAGAATTTGTTTATGCTCCTCGACTGCTTTAACGCTACGTACAAGTCCACCATATTGAATTTTAAAAAAGGACACCATGCAAATAAAAGTAGAGGTTCCAAGCTTTAATTTAAGCCCTATTTTGATTTTTTTTCGTTGAAATTAAAAATGGACAGATAGGGGGTAAATATTGACAAAGAATGCCCCATTTTAAAAAAATGTTCAAGTCTGAAAATACACGTTTTTGTAGTATCGAGCAAAAATGTGAGCAATCATATTTATTACAAATCTTATATGTTTTTATAATGTAGAAAACATTTTCTTGTGGATAAAACTGATTAGTACCTAGAACATAAACTGGGTCACGAAATTTTTTTTTGTTTTGTATACTCTGGGTTAATTTCACTCGAGCTCCGATTTTAGATGTGTTTTGTTTGAACAGAAATTGTCCGATTGACTCGGTTGAACGACTTACCGACTTACCGAAAAAAGTAATTTCTTATTTTCAGTTACATTAACTATGTAACTTGGTTGATGTGACTAGTCAGTGGCGGATCCAGGGGGAGGGCACGGGTTCTTGGCTCCCCCCAAGAGTCAAATATTCCTATGAAATAGAAAGCCATAACATTATATTTATTTATTTTTTGAATAGATGGCCCCCCCAAAAACCTTGTCTGGATCCGCCACTGTGACCAGTTGATATGAGGGTAGGATTGTCAGAAAACGAGCGATTTGCAGCTGGTCTTCCGATTTCTTTGAAACTATAGGAAATAGTAGTCTTAGGTGGGATAGTTAAAAGCCCAAAAGGATTTTCAAAAATATTCAAAATGGCGTCCGCTAGGCCATGTTGAAAATAAGTGCAGGGTTTTTTGAAAAATTTATATTTCCGAAACTGTTAGAGGGGTTTGAATTTGAATTCAATTAAGATTCCTGTTAATTAATTATTGATAAAAATCAAAGCCAACAAGAACAACACTACTACTAATAGAATATATTGTGCAATATGGGGAAGAAGGGTCGATTTATGGAGAGGGCGAATGTTTTTAGCACGAATCGAAGTGCGAGACGAGTGGTAAAAACTTCGCCCAACCGTAAATCGACTCCGCAGAATTTCGTGAGTGCAAGAGAGATAGTCAGATATTACTATCCTTTCCACAATCAAAAAATTCTGCTTTGCATTGTGTTTTCTGCTCAACATGGGACTGTACCCTAAATCGTGCATGAGTGATGAAATTTTTTTTTACTATCACATCACTTCATCTTCTTACATTTTTTGCATTTCTTCTAATATCAATCTATGATTTTCTCTTAAAATCTAAAAATAATCCTGATGATGGCTCTAAATCAGAGGTCAATGAATAGGAAACAAAAGAAGAATGAATAAATTTTCATATGCAACGACTTTTGATTCAAATACAGTTCAGGCGCACCTTGTCACACGTGTACAATTATACTATAATAAATGATTATTATCTAGAATGTGTCTAATTATTAAAAAGACCACAAATCACAATTCAGAAGTAGGATCGCCATCAAATTCTGACGATTAAGTGTTAAATTTTACTAAATAAAAAAATAAGTGAGAGAAGCAGGCCCAATGCGCCTACATCTTATGGATTCGTGGCTTAAAAGAATAAAAATAATAAATAAATAATAAAACCAATCTTAACCCCACGGAAAATATTAATTATTAATAATTAGGAAATTACCACACAAATTAACAATTTTTACTTCCGCTCATCAACTAGTAGTTTCCTTGGTTACCATGTCAACTGTTGCTATGGTAACCATTACCATAGAAACCGCTGCCATGACAACCATTACCATAGCATCCGTTACTATGGTAACCGTTGTTATGGTAATGGTTATTATATCAACCATTACCATAACAATCGTTGCTATGGTAACAGACGGACACCGGAGTCTAGCTATAAGGGTGTCGGCCCTTGGCCACGAAACCCTAACAAAACGAAACGGAAAAATTGGCACGGCTGAGAAAGGGTCTGTCTCAGATAACGCGTTAGCTTCGAAATGATAGATTTGTGGTTTCAGATATTGAGGGATATAAGTGTTGTATTCTATTTCATAAGTCTGTGTTTTTCTATCATTAAAAAAGTATATCCGGCACCCAGCACCGACAATCCTTGAGCGAACAGTCTAAAGTTGCTCACACAAGACACTTCGTTACAGTGTGTAATGATAGGGTTTTTATTTGCTGGGAATTCGCTCGCCGGATGGAGTCCGGGTTCCCTTAAATATTAATTAAATAAATAATTATCCATAGTTAATGGCGTAAATCGCCATCTATTGAGCTTAACTTGATTTCTGTGAGTCTGAGTAAAGGTGTAGTCAATAACGAGGCGAGAATTAAACCTTCGAAAGAAAAGTATATTATAGTAAAATAATATTTAACAAAAAATAATAAATAATTAGAAATTAGAATTAACAATAATAAAGTAGAAAATAATAATAATAATTCAAGTACAACGAAAATATAATAATGATCGAGAATCTAATCGAGAAATATTAATAACAATATAATTTCGAGTAATAAAATATTCGATATTAGTTTACATATGTTTTCCTTTTGTCTGAGACTATCGCATTCCATCGAGTTTATAATTCACGAAACTAGTCTAGAATTTGTTCCATAATCTATCGTGACCGACGCGACCAAGACGTGCACTTTGAGGAACTAAATCTGCTCTTCGTTAAGGCAGAAACAAGATTCTAATACCGGAAATGCTGCCGATATTCTTGCCCGACGCGAAAGATTTGTGAATTAAGAACTCAACGGTCGATTCCTTATCCAGGGTGCTCGCTGAGGGAAGGAACCATCTCCGTAGCTTAGCCTCAGGTGTAATAAGAGCTCCTATATACACCTTGGGGGCAGAGTATAGGAAAAAGAAATCTTTACCACGAGGTCCTCTCGTGAGTTAAACCTTAATCGTATTTGTTTGAAACTTGTTACTCGGGAGTCTTTAGGGTCTCAAAGCATAAAATTAATGTCATATTTCCATAAAAGTTTTTAATTAGGAAGTAGCTGATTGTCCAAGAGTGCAACAAATACAATTATTGAGTTTTAATTTTTTTGATTGACATTTTAGATCTGTCATTTTGAATTTTTTAAAACTGACATTACATTTGTCATCAGCCACTCTGGAAAATTATGAATAACAAGTTCCTATCAAATTCGATTGAGTTTTAAGTATTTCGTGCTCCATATTATATAGGTACTCCATTGTAAATTTTTTAAAACTAACATCAGATTCGTGATCACCGACCTTTAAAACCATAGAATAACAAGTTTCATACAAGTGCTTTTGTTTTTAAAGATTAAATAGAATAAACTTATACACCTCATTTTGTAATGTTGCATTAACTTTAATCAAGTCTAAGTATCACTTGTCCCAACTTTAACGAGATTACCTCCCATGTTGCATACTATACTTTATGCAACAAAAGGCGTATTATATTGACCGCTCGCAGGTCAATAAAGTACCCATAATTTTCCTAGGTCAATAATAATGGATACTTTATTGACCGCTGCTCACAGGTCAATAAAGAACTCATTATTACCCTAGGGTAATAATGGATACTTTATTGACCACCTGGATTATATGGGGGAACTTAGTATCAGCTTTTTCAAAAATCTAGAAAAATTTAAATAAAATTTCTTTAAAAACACAGAAATCTTAGTTAGAATTTCAGCTTTAAAATAAGCCTTCCATAATAATGTGAATGGGAGAAAAAGCAGGGACGGCTTTATGAGGGAAAACGATGAATTTTCGAGTTTCTTTATATTCTTCGTGAAACGTCATTATTTACAGCTGAAAAAATAGTTAACGAAATGACTTAAAATATGGCTTATTTAACGCAAAATTTAATAAGCTTTCTAACCGTTTTTAAGTTTTTTTTTGTATCTCCTTTTATTGTCGAGATATGATTGAAAAAGTGATGGAATATTTTTCCATAGAGTCACGTGTAATCGTCCTAATACTCGTGGACGGTAGTGTAATAATTGTTAAAAATACAAGAAGGTTTCTTTAAAAACCATTAAAAAATTCACAAATGTAGAAGAAGTACTTCCAGTGGTAAAATCTACTACTTAAAGTACCTAATAACTTTAAATGCAACATATTTATTTATCACAAGTAACATATTCCTAGCTTTTACCACTTTTGATATATTTGGTCCATAGTTTAATTTATACAATGGTTAAATTTAATAAATATCTCACCTTAAAGCCCTGGATAATTTGTCATAATTCATATTAGGTTTAGATTTTCTTTCTCCCCATCGTCGTGCAACTTCATCGGGATCTGTCAACTTAAACTCGCCATTTGTTCCTTCCCATGTGATACATGCAGCGTTACTTGAGTCCGACAAAAGTTCAAGTAGAAATTGCCAGAGTTGAATCTGACCTGAGCCTGAACTTGCAAGGCGACTGCTAGTCGCACCGAACATTTGATAAGGATCTAAAAAAATAAAAAGATCTATGTTAGATACCTTTAAGCGCAGATGTAAAAATAAATATACAACTTATTATTAAAATTCCATTTACAATGGCGTATAACGAAAAACGACGAACGGCGAGATATTTAAAGTTAATTATATTTAAACTTTAATAGCTCCAAAACTGTAAATGAAAAGTAAATAATCTTTTTTTCATTTAATTAATTCACTATTAAGGTATCAAATTCAAGTGTACAATTGACTGAATGTTTCAATTAACTATATTAAATAATAACGTTCTTCATAACCAATTTATACGCCCTTTTTGCAATCAACCTCCAGGGGAATTAGGATATTTCTAGGATGTCCCAGGGGTGACTATTGACGCCCCTGGGGTATCCTAAGAATATCCTATCTTCTACGGACAAATGATTATCCCCGGGACATCTATAAATTGTTAATCCTGAATATCCGAATACTATCAGGGACACAATGCTTTAGGCGTTAGTAAAATTTTTATTTCAAACTTAAAAATATTGTGAATGTGATAGGAGGTGAAGGTCATAGAGTTGTCAAGGAATTTGTACGATTTTTGGCCAAAAATGTATAAAAATTACAGCAACAATATAGAGAACTTGCTATGTAATAATGAACAAAATTCGCCATATTTGATTCTGTATGGGATAAATTTTAAAATCTGAGCACGAAATCTTGTAGAGCGACCCACAGGAAACATTTCAGAAGTTATCAATTTAAAAAAACGACAAATTGAAGTATAGAGACCAAACAAATTTGTAAGCGTTTACAAAACTCGTTATTGGTAAGCTTCTGTGGTCGCTACATTAAAATATAAATGAAACTTGAACTTTCAAAATGGCGAATACAATATGTCGGACTAAAATCTCGCCATATTGGGTCCTCCATTTTTAATGTTAAAGTTTCATTCATATTTTAATGTAGCGACCTCAGAAGCTTACCAATAACGAGTATTGTAAAGTTTTACAAATTTGTTTGGTCTGTAATCTGTATACTTGAATTTGTCGTTTTTTTAAATTGCTAACTTCTCGAATGTTTCCTGGACCAGAAAAATTAGAAAAAAGATTTTCTTTATTTTTTTTTGTATTTATCTAGCTTTATTTTGGTCTAAGGATCACTCATTTTGGTGCATTCTATCGAGAGATATTAGATTTTGGCAAAAAAATGCAAAATGTCTCACTGCGCGACCCCGAGAATATAAAAAAAGCTTTAGTTACTTTTAGGAAGCATTTTGCGTATATAAAATCATATCTTAATTAAAACACAAAATTTCCTTAGGTTTCAGGCATTAATGGGTTAAAATATCATTCTAGCAGTTTGATTCTAGTATTCTCTGATAAACATTGACATTTTTGAGAAATTTTGAAACAGCATTAATCTCTAAAATGAAATTCTACTTTATATATAACCAGGATAAAAGTTCACTAGCCTAATTTAACAAATTTTTTCATTAAATTAAATTCTGACATATCCTTTTGTTATATAAGTACTGGATTGTTTAACTTTGAAATTATACTTCTTCACAATATTCGGATATGTGAGGATATCACGGAAACATCCTACAGAAATTAGTATCCCAACAAAAACATCTTTGATGCAAAAATTTCCGCCAAGTAAAAATTTTGGAAATGTCGAAATAATTAGTGAAATAAAAGTTTACCAAGTAAAATTTGTAACGAATGTATTCAATTGTATTCAATTGTAACAAATGTAGAATATAATTTAATTATTAACATAATCAGCTAATGAAATCCAATTGTTCGTCTTAATAAAAAATTTCTATTTGAAGCAATTTTAAGATCTTGGCGTCAATAATGTTTCTAACTTATAATTAATGAAAGTATTGACGCCAAGATCTTAAAATTGCTTCAAATAGAAATTTTTTATTAAGACGAACAATTGGATTTCATTAGCTGATTATGTTAATAATTAAATTAAATTCTACATTTGTTACAATTGAATACAATTGAATACATTCGTTACAAATTTTACTTGGTAAACTTTTATTTCACTAATTATTTCGACATTTCCAAAATTTTTACTTGGCGGAAATTTTTGCATCAAAGATGTTTTTGTTGGGATTGAAATACTTTGTGCATCATAATTAAATTCTAGGGTCTTTTATAAAACTGTTAAGTAGTTCAGGCTCTACATTTATCTAGATGTCAAAATCCAATTTTTTAGAGAAAAATATAAATATTTCAATATTTGGATTTTTGTAAAAAAAAATAAAATTTTTTGATATTTAGACAAACGCAGAGACTAAACTTCAAAACGGATATGTAAAATATTCTAGAATATTATTGTTTGGATTAGAATCTGGATATATATTGCAGGAAATTTTAATAGACTTTGTATTTATTAAAATATTTTGATTTTTCTATAAAAAATTGAATTTTTCGACATTTAGACAAACGTAGAGACTAAATTACTTAACAGATTTGTAAAATATTCTAGAATATTATTGATTGGAGTATAATCTTGATATATATTGCAGGAAATTTTAATACATTAAAAAGTTTAGTCTCTACGTTTGTCTAAATTTAATTAAATTTTATTTTTTTTAGAAAAATCAAAATTTTTCAAAAAATACGAAGTGTATTAAAATTTCCTGAAATATATATCGAGATTTTAACCCAATCAATGATATTATAGAATATTTTACACTTCCGTTTAGAAGTTTGCTCTCTACGTTTGTCTAAATGTCAAAATATTCCATTTTTTTGAGAAAAATCCAAATTTTTCAAAAAATACGAAGTATATTAAAATTTCCGGAAATGTATATCGAGATTTTAACCTAATTAATAATATTTTAAAATATTTTAGAAATCCATTTAGGAGTTTACGCTCCACGTTTGTCTAAATCTCAAAAAATCGATATTTTTTCGGTTTTCCTAGCTTAAATTCTATAAAAGTATCAAAAATATTCAAATAAACTTGACAGAATTCTTTCTTTTTTGATTCTTTATCCAACAAAAAAAGAATGAGCCAAATCGGTTGAGATTTACTCGAGTTATTCAATTTTATCGAAAAACAGCCGATATTTCGAGAATATATATCGCGGTTTTTGTTTTTTACTTGGCGGCGATTCTCTACCGCGAATCTTGATCCGGGTGCTGTAAATGATTTTTACAATACTAATAGGCATATATTTAAAATCATAATTACTATCAAATGCTAAGATATCCTTAAAATCTGTAATACAAAAGTTCTGAATGTAATAAAACATTTCAAGTGTATTTTAAACTACAATCTTTTTCTAAGTTGACGGCGACGAATATGAACTTTACGACTACTTTTCCAATAAAAGAATACAGCCTCTTCTCGTCTGAACATATACCTATTTATTACATGCTTGTTTCAGTGAGTTCCCTATCACCCTTGAAAGCTCCACAATGCGTCATCACCGTCACTTACGGCTGCTCAACTATGGAGGACCCTACATAGTACAAAGGATACAATCGCAACTGTACAATAGAATAGAATTCGTTTGAATCATAATAATTTCAATTGAAAGAATGATCCTAAAAAGATTTGTCCAGCAAATGTAATAATTTTTATTCTTATTGATAACTATTAATCATTAATTGAAAATTGGTATTCATAAATTTCAAAGTCAATGTTTTACTTGCTTAATCTAATTTTAAAGGGCACTAAAATTATATAGAAGAATCACAATACTAATTCTACTACTTACTTTTTATTTAAACACTAATAATGAAATTATATAATCTTCCTATATTACAAAAAGTTATTACCGTCTCTGTTTTAGGATTTAATAGTATATTTAGCAAAAACCCTAGGTTCATATCGTAGGTCAAAAGCGAGGTCAAAAGGTTGCACCATTTACCTGAAAATCAGGTCAAAGTTCTTCATCTTTGATATCCCCTATAAGGGTAAAGAAGAAAAATTTGGTTTTTGAAACAACTTTGATAAAAGCTGTTTGTGTACCTGGCACCGACGACATGTAATATTTCCATGCAGTCAACATTTTAGTCTAACAGTAAGGGGCGCATGATTATTTCTCAAATTTCAATTTCATAATTTTCAAAACATCTAAATTCTTATTATCGAAATGTCATTTCACATAATTTTCATATTTCGGAATACCATTAAACATTATTTTTAATTATTCGAATTATTCTTTATCCTATAATATTTAAATAATAGAATTATCCTTTGACATCATTTTTTATATGTCGAAAAATTCTTTGACATAAATTTTGTTATTCCGAATTAATATTTATCATAATTATTAATCCTCCGAATGGCTACATAACCTCAAAGTCATTTACAATAATCGACATTCAATTCAATTTGTATGTTTGCGAAATTTCATTTCACATAATTCTTATATTTAGAAATACTATTGAAGACAATTTTCATTTTATCGAATAATCATTGATTCTAATTTTTAAATAATCGAATTGTTTTTTAACATAATTTTTATTCTGACTAATAACTTAGGCTCTTATTGATACCGTTCAAAAAGATGTAAATTTTAATTTTGCGCCATATTTATTCTACTTTTATAAAAATCACTTAACGCCATCTTCATCTACTTTACCGACTGTTTTAACCAAAATATATACAACATCTAGATGGGAAACAACTATCTTAAAATTGTCTGACAAAAAGTTTAGGAGAAATGAAATTTATGTTGTTTGGATCATATATGTCATTTGATATTTCAAGAAAGGGAAATTATGTTCAATGGTATTTGGAAATATGAAAAATTATGTGAAATGACATTTCGATAATAAGAATTTCGATGTTTTGAAAATTATGAAATTGAAATTTGGGGAATAATCATGCGCCTCAAGGCCTCAACAGTAAGATCACTGTAATGTAACGAATATAAAATGTAATAATACAGTGATATTGATTTTTTCTCGATGTGCCTCCGGAAATTCACTATCAAAGGCTTAATTTTAAATATTTTTTATTGCACTGTTACCGACAGAAAATTACTAGAAAGAGTTGTAAATTCAAATAGTGAAAGTAAATTCAATTGAATATAAATAATCACCGCTCTTTGTAGTAACTTTCTATAGGTACACCTTATAATTTGAGGTAAACTCACAAAGTGTAGTATTAGAGAACATCTTGGAAGTCTGTAAATGCTGCAAGCCTAGTATGATGGGTTGTCAAGGTACAGGGGTTTAACCCATTAACGCCCAAGCTAATGAAAAATAACCATTGATCATTCTATTTTGTATGAAAATTACATCAGAAAAAATTTGCAATTTAAAATTTCAGAGGTAAATCTTATCGTTCTTTCATGTAATGTATAAAAATTTTTTTTATAAACATGAAAAATTTCTTTTTCATTATATTTTCACTAGGAAAAAGTAAAGGAATTCTCTCAAAAGCTCAAAATATATCGTGAATTGACTATAAGAAAATCGTTACTCGAGGGTTTTCGAAATCGCCGATTAAGAATATTTGTAATTTGAAGCAGCTTAAAATCATTGTTTTCGATGCCTCACCAATGAGTGTGTGCATGTGATTAAAAAATAATATTTTTCTCAAAAAGTATATTTTTAAAATATTTAGAAAAAATATATGTTAAAGGGGACATTATAAAGTATTTTAAAAAAAATTTTAAGAAGTAACTTCAAAAAATTACCCCCAAAATTTTTTTTGATTTCAAAAATAAGTTAATAGGAAAATTGGGAAAACTGCAGTAAATTTTTTGACGTGGAATGCGTCGAACGTATGAACAGAATAACGGAAGCACAAATCAATTTTTAAAATTTTTTTTGAAAAAATTCATAACTCATCCAAAAATACAAATTTTGTGTTCATACTTACAGGAGTTTTTACTCTTGTGGGTGGTAATATATGGAATTAATTATTAATGAGTATAAAATTTCAGAATAATCTGTCAAAATATGTTTAAGATAATTTGTGTACAATATTTTGTGACATACACACCCACGTATACATCTTAATATTTGTTTCAAATTTCGATTTTTGTGCATTATAGATAAAAATAAGTCCATACAACCTGTTTTGAAAAACAAAAATTATCACAAATACAAAGCTTCCTCATGAAAAAGCAAAGCAATCACGATTTCTAAATCTCAAATTAAGTTCCTACTGCGGGCAAACCCTTTTCGTACGTTCAGAAACTTTTTTTGATCCAGCGATAATTTACTTATAAGTTAATAGGAAAAAAGGGCAAGCTGCAGTAATTTAATTATTTGACGTGGAATGCGTCGAATGTACAAGCAGAATAACGAAAGCAAAATAAAATCTATTATGCTTTATACGATAATTGTCCAATCGACACGTACAGTGAAATAAATAAATTCAAATAATAGTGAGCAATGTTTCTTTATTCATTAGAACAATTTTTGACAATTTAACACTTTGATAATAACTTTAATAAAAGAAGGCCTTTTAAAAACTTGTGTTTCTCAAAAACTAAGACAGATAATGCGGCATTTTGTTTTGGTTTCAAAGATATTGACTTCTATTTTTTACAAGCAAATTAATTAACATTGTAAATATCAAAAATATTTTAATGGCTAAGGAAATTCATCTGTAAAAGGTTGTCCGACATTTAAAATTTTTAAGGTTGAATTGAAAATTGTGCACCAGCGAATTAAAAGATATTCACATATCTAGTTTTGTGAAAAACTAATAAGTTTTTACGATTTCTAATACCCGTCCACGATTTTTCGAAAAAAAATTTTCTTTAGTTGCCATTTTGTGTCCGCCATTTTGAAATTTAACATTACTATTGTAGTTCCTTATAGATTAAATATGCATGCCGCGATATTTGTAACAGTCAAAGATATTCCTTTACTATAAAGGATCCATACATATTCATAAATGAAAAAACTGAAAAAGCGTGTTTTTTATTAAAAAAAATTGTTTGTTACTTGTTTATTTATGAATATTCCTCATTTCTTATTGCAAAATCCTGTCCTTCATAGGTTAACTTTATATTTTTTGAATTATACAGAAATAATGAAAAAATTTCTACGAAGCTGGGATCGAACTCGGATACCTTGGGCTTAAAGCATTTCGCCTTAAGCACCTCAGTCAAGGAAGATAGATATGAACACTTATTTAAAAAAAAACGTGTAAATACCTACTCTTTTTTAACGTTAAAATACTAAGAAACGTATTTTTCAAAAAAATTAGTTTTTAACGCTGCTCTTTTTCAATTTTATACCTATTTTTAATATTGGAAGTTTTTGCGTTCACAGCAAGTGTCTCGAGTATTTTAAGCCACATCTTTTTTAACGGTGTTCACCACTAAATATAAAGTTGAGTATAGCAACAACATAATTAATTACTTTGTTTTTGGAAAATAGAAGTCAATATCTTTTAAACTAACAAAATTACTTTATTAATATTTATCTCAGTTATTAAAAAACATAAGTTTTAAGAATAATGTTTTTATTTGAGTCATTACCCAAACTGTCCCGTTATTGTCTTTAAATTTTGAGAAATTTACAGTATACAATAATTGTCATGGAATATTATACCAAAACTAAATAAAATTCATGGTGTTAGCAGCTATTTAAGAAAAAATTACAATTAGAGAATCAAATCAACGTGAAAAAGATCCCTGGAATGGGCCTGGAATATTCCCCGTAGTCGCTACCGAGAAATTCCCGGGGGTGACTCCTTCGAATTTTATTCCCATTCCTGGAAACTTTTTCACCTGGTAGTAGCAATTTTAATAGAAATTTAAAACAATTTTTAATTTAAAACATTGTTCTTTAAAAAATATATACATATTATCATTGCAATCATTATGATTGCTCAATTATCATTTAAAATGACAATACAGACACATTTTATAACAAAGGATTTTAGTAGTGTTAAAAAGTTACATACCAGGTTGTCTAAGATGAGTGTGTGAATCCAGTGCTGACTTTGATAAATTACTTCCGTAACCTAAAACAAAAAATGATTTTATTTTGGAAAAATATTTATTAGTACTGCATCATTGTTGATTTTAAATGATCATACGTTATAAAAACCGAATTGAGATTTCGCCGAAACTTATTAAATTAATTCTTTATTATTATCATAAATTAAATGTGGTGGCCAGACTCGAAATCAACATTTAATTCATTTATTGTATCTTTGAATTGTATAGAGTTGATATAATATCAAATGTAGAGTTGTAAAAATTTATCTTATATCACAAGAGAATTTCACACGTCGTGATTGATAGTAATTCACATTATGTTAATCATGTATTTAGTGACTTACTGGTAATGAATTATCAACAGACCGAAAATGTTCAACTACAAATGAGATTGTTAATCAAGAGATTATTGTCACGACTGTCAACTGGCAATCACTTGTCAAAGATATTGCTGCAAGGGAGAACCCAAGGTGCGCATGACCTATATACGGAACCGAAGAAGGATGCCACTTAACCTAATTTCACCAACCTGGCGCCGAGGAAGTTCCCTAAAACGGATCATCGCTGGTACTTTACAAGAACGAAGTGCGGGATTCGTAAATCGGTGTTTGTTACCATTTTCATAGTACATGCACTTCACTTCTGAAATTTACAACTGATGTAAAATTAGCAATGGATGTTAGGCATATTACTATAGCAATTTTTTTTTATTTCTCTAAAGCTTTTCCCTCAATGGATCATGGCAGGTTAAAACATAAACTTCCTGCGTTCAAGCTTTCGAAATCAGTATGTAGGTGGTTCGAGTCCTATCTGGATGGTAGATTTCAGAGAGTTATGGGCGAAAATAGTGATTGTTCGGATTGGTGTAGACTGGTGTATGGGGTTCCTCAGGGATCATCATTGTCCTCAATTCTATTTAACTTATTTATATCGGATCTTGGGGAAGGGCTTAAATGAAAAAGGTTCAGCACGATATTGACTGTGTGGTGGATTGGTCGAATTATAATGGCCTTGCTCTTAATCTTAATAAAAATCAGGCAATGGTGTTTGCAACTGGCTGCAATCCTGCCATAGCTACTCTTTCTCCTCTCACAGTAAATTGTATTCCTATAGTATATAAGGAATCGGTGAAGGATCTTGGGGTTATTTTGAACAGAACCTTGTCTTGGAAAGATAATGTTTTTGAAATTTCTCGTAAAGTTTTTATAGTTCTGCAACAGCTTTATAAGAACAAAGAATCCCTTCCTATATCAACACGTATACTATTAGTTAAATCGTTAATTCTCCCTATTTTTGACTATTGCTGTCCGGTATACGACGATGTCACGGATGAATTAAATGATAAGTTGGAAAGATCCTTAAATGCTTGTATTCGTTTTATTTTTAATTTGCCTAAGTTTGAACACGTTACGAAATACAGGATTAAGTCTGGGTTGTTGACAGTTGCAGCAAGAAGGCAATTTTTCATGGGTAATATGTTGTATTCAATATTCGATAGTAAAATTCCATCATACTTGTATGATTTCTTCGAATTTAAAAATATTGATGAATCGAATAAAAATAGGCTTAGAGAAAGACGAGCTGTTTTGAAAATACCTGCACATTGAACCTGCAAGATGCAAAAATCTTTTATCGTCAAGGGTGCTCGGCTTTGGAATAAATTGCCTAAAGAAATTAGAAATGCTCAGAAGCATTTTTTTAGAAGACTTTTTATTTATTTCTTGTTTAAGACGCATATTAAGATTTTTGATATAACTTATTGGCAACATATTTATTATATTTTTAATATTTTATTTTCTTTTTGTTTTATCAATGTTATAGTTTGTTTTATATATTTTATTTGTTTCTTTATCACAACAATTATGGATTATAGTTACGGATCCGCGTCATGCTGCGTCATGAATATTAGACTCTACATTTATAATTTTTCTATTATTTTTTTTACTGTATTATGTAATTTTTTTCTCTTTATTGTTTCTCCACTCAAAAATGTATTCATCTATTGTTCCTTGGAGGGCTCATTAGCCCTAGGAACCGTTTAAATAAATAAATTTTCGTAACGCTGCGGTGATAAGAACTACCAAGAAAAAGGAAACATCGTTACAGTACGTAGAGGAGGTGGGGTTCAAACATATGTCATTGACCAACCATTTTAACCTTTATAATTGGTGTAATAAAAATTCATATTTTATTAACTAAAGAACACACTTTGGAATAAGTAATAAGTTTTTAACCGAAGTATTTAAACATTTAAACAAATTTAGTGGTCATCTGACAGACTGAAATAAAAAATTTCCTCCTTCTCATAGAGTTACAATTGAAAATTATATCTAACAAACAAATATTTAGCATTTAAAGAGGATGGCGGATCTTATCCTTCAAGAGGTAATATTTTGAACAATTATTATGAAGTACCGTATTTGTTAAGTAAAATAAAAATCAGGGTTCCACGTCTGTCATCTAGACAAAACACACCTTTTTACTTAAAGAGTTTTTCATCACCTATAATTTTTGATGCACCTACTTTCTTTGCCTGTCATCACAAATCAAATGTATTCTGTCCTTGAACTTGATATATTCTACTGATCACAGACGAAATTTCTTGAATATCTTAACAAATATATCTTGTCATGTTGATCGTAAAAGTTTTCTCATAGGTTTGATGTCTGCTAAAATGTTTTTTAAGTCGCAATAATTTTACAAATAATTTAGAAATTTGTAAATAAAATTTAATTTTTTTAGATAAAACCTATCTAAAAGTGAAAAAAACACCAGTTTCTTTCAATCTTAATCTTTATCTTTTTTCACTAGTTTTGGTATTGTTTACGCTTGAAGAATAAAATGGTACAGTCTAGCTGGTCCTTTGATCCTCCCCCAAAGAATCTCTGCAACTCGTAACAGGATTACTCCACCCCATGTAATTGCTTGTGAATGCGCAGATAATATGTTCAACAATGAGGTACACATCTAACGTGGCAGTATGTGTGCTACGCTCACATTTAATGTTTGCAAAATATTATATTTAGGTAGGTTATTATTAAAACTTTTATGACATTATTGAACATGATGAAAAGTTTTATTTTTTTAGGTAATCAACAAATAACTTTTGTTTCTTTTATTTACTTTATTTTTTACTTTGCATAAATTCAACATTGACTGCCTTAAAAATGTTGCATCTTGTACTTAAATTAATATAACGATAATATGATTTTATAACTTAAAATATATTTTTAATATTTAATTTTTATTGTTTGCTTAGTGTTTTCCAGATAATATCTTCGTTGAAGAAGTTGAAAAAAAGATAAAAAGGCAATATTTCTTGAAAAGTGCAACGTTACAAGATCTGACCCAGTAAGAGTAGTGTTAGCATAGGAATGGCGCTAACATTTGTGTTAATTTTAAGAGAAGGGAAGATCCGAGGATAGGTCGGAGTCCCGCGGCTACACTGATTGCGGCAGAACCCCAACTTGGACCCTGAATTCCGTATCCTGCGACCCTTGCTCAAGATTGTTCTACGTTCCAATCAGAATCACAAAATCAAATTGTTTAACATAGTCATCACCAACTGCTACTCATAGCATAGCATCTGCCAAGCTTACTTCCTAAATTTATTTGTCATTGAAATAAAGTGTTTTGGAAAAATGGAAAATAATTAAATTCATTTCAATTAGAAAATGAAATTGAAAACCACGTAAAACATTCAAGTTTCGGTATTTTTAAAAAATCGTAGTTCCTGCGATAGCCACAACCTCATAGGATTAAAATGCAATTTTATTTTTCGATTTTTGATTAATACACACGCTCAGTCTCGTGTCCGGAAGATATTTTTAGAATACAAAACGTTTTTCGAACAAACATGAACATCTACAAAATAATCTAAAGAAGTCTTTAAAACAATTTATCTCCATGAGCCTACAGGGTCTAATACTTTCTTCTACCTCTGATTTTCTTTTTGGGATTGTTAGGGGACTGTTTCCGGACCATTCTGCAAGAAAAATTAAAATCAAAGACTGAACACTTTTTTAAATGCGATTTTTGTTCTAAATTTCGTATTTACTCTCCACTTATTGAATGTGTCATTATAATTGTTTTCTTAGAAATACATATTAAACAAAAAATGAAAATAATTACGTGATTTAAAAAGAATTTTTTTTATTGACTTATGCTTCAGCAAATGTATTTGAACTAACTTCAAATCTAACTTTAAATTGTTTATAGTTTAACTTGACATTAAGATGATGTTTTATTGAGAGAATCGTTAACAATTGTTAACGATTTAGTTTAAACTACACCTAAAAAATTTAAATTTACACGAATGGACTTAGTTTATCAAATGTTAGTGAATTAAACATCATGTTGCACAACAAACCTATAATTATTAAAAATCATGCTTGCACACATGAAGAAAACCGTTATGTTATTTATTTTTTGTGTTGTAGCAAAAATAAGACAAAGATTAATATACAATCAGCTATTACGAAAGACTGTTCTAATTGTTTGTCTGTTTTACAGAAAGGTAAAACTCATATAATTGCAAAACATCAAAGATTGTGAATGATGTAAGGAATATGACGAACAAATTTGAATTAAAGACGAAAGAACAATTAACATCCAGCTTTATAAAAAATGTTATTGGAGAAAAAGGTTATTCTGACTCAATAAAGTTATTGCAGCCAAAAGGAGGAAATCCCCTCCAAATTACGATCGGAAATCTAAAGAAACGTTATTTTACGTAAAAGTTTTCCAAATCATTATAAAACAGTTCAATTTAAGTTATAAAAGTTATCGAAAATAATAGAACCACTCTTAAAAAGAAAATTACTTGATAGTAATCATACTCTGGACCATTTATTTGAATGTAAGACTGTTAATTTCCTTAATGTAAAACAAAATTCTGTATCTGCTGCTCCAGAATTGGTAGTTTATTGTACCGATCTACGAGAAATAATTGATTCTACAATGGAATCTCGTAATATTAATAAAAAACATTTGAAATTTGGTATAGATGAAGGAGGCGAATTTT